AATACTCTGCGGGGTCCATTGGCTAACAAATCTACATAGCAAATTTTATGAGTTCGAATCCCCACACCTTCACTTCTCTCTTTTATTTCATTCTCATCTCTCATTGATTATGAGTAAATAAATAAATAAAGCACGAGAAATTTATGCGATGAATAATTCCCAACTCTGATTCATTACTAGAAGGTCTAACTTTAGCTTTTATCAGAATGAAACTGATGTGTTACAAACTAACTTAAGGCTGTGAATAGTCGTGCGAAGCCACATATAGGCCTCCCGTTAACCTAAACTTAATCCAGATTGGAGCGATGGCGCCTACTAAATTGAAGCTCGGTCAGAAAACCCCTCGGATCATCATGGGAATTTCTAGCGGAAAAAGATGGACTAGGATTACGTGACTTTTCCCTCCAATTCTGGGGGACCACGTGCTCTCACATCGTGGACGCCATGGTCCTTGACTTCGCACGTGAGAAAACGCGCGGAGTCTCTTGGTGACGTCATGTCCACAAGGAGTTACTACACACACTTGAAACTAGATGTCTCTTATTACGAAAGGAAAACGACTTCCGCGGTGGGAGCTCTATGTATCCAATCTTGTGGCCAAAGAGGAAGGAAGGCGCATGCATAGTAACGATCAGTTATTATGCATGTACTATGCAAAAATAAAAAAGATACTTGTTGATGACGAAAGTGCCCTTTTGTTGTTTCGGTTGCACCATTTCACCAGAAAGTTAAAGAATGAAATTACCTGTAGTTAATTTAGCCTTACCGTGTTGGCTCCAATCCCGTCCGCTAGTGTTGCTGGATATCGTGACGTAGTAATGTCAGATTCATGAATACTTCAGCCTTCGAGACGGCGTCTGGAACTCCAATTATTTTGCATGAAACATTTTTGTTTTGAGTTCATGAAATGAAGTGAGATTGAAACGGTGGTTAGCTGTGGCCGATCGATGGAGTGAGTTATGGAGATATCTCTCCTAAACATCCCTGAATTAACAGTATGGCGTCCAACTTGCATTTCATTCCAAGAGGCATTCTCTCCTCAGAACTAGACGAGATGTTCGAAGAATTCCAGATATGCCTTTAACATTCCACGTCGGTACTGACATAGTTCGTGAAAGTCTGAATAGGCGTGTTATCGGCCTAACTTTACATGTGCGCAACAAAATGTCTCGCAGACCAAGGGATTGATCCATATAGGCCTAATTGTTGAGGGTTGAGTTTCTCTCGAAATAAAAGTAAGTCTTGGCCTGGCCTGAAGACAGGCCGTGGTTATGCCCAGGTCTGACGTTAGTGAGTCTCGTAAAGAAGGGGGAGAGGTTGGAGAATGGAAAGCCCTTTGAAAAATGTTCTTCATATTACTTCATAACACTCATTAGTCGGAGTATATGAAGCCAACATTTTCCATAAAAGCATGGGTTTCTGAATAGTAATAGAGTCTGAAGTAATAGAGGCAAAAATGGATTGTCAGATTTGACCATAAATGTAGACGGTCGGTGTCATTCCGGTCATGGTAGACTAAAGTCGGAGAAATAAAGAGATGAGAAAATAATTCCGGTGACACACAGGGGAAGAATGCACAAGCGATGCATTGCACTTGCATGGAAGCCGGTGCAATGGCTTCATCAAGGGAATCACGGGACCATTTAAAGGGTTAAATTGTCGGCAGGGACTTCACCACGCTGCTAGATAAAGTTTCATAAGGAAGATGAAGTAGACAAACCAGAAGGCGAAAGTGGCCTTAGGGCTTTCCAGTCATATCGAACGTTCGGCATGATTCGACATTTCCCCTTTATCGATATTCCAGAATTCTGGCTCCTTTCCGTTCGACATAATACAAAAGCGACATTTTATGTCATCAACATCCTTGCCCCTCTAAATTACTGCCTTTCTGCGTTTCCGCATTCGTTCCTAATTTGTGGAATACGAATATATTGTGAGCGAAAGTGAATTTCCTTAGTCGTAGTTGCTCCCGAGCTCTCTTCTATTTACAGTGAATGATTTAAACCAATGAACATCGGGCACGTTACCCTCTTCTTGTATGATTTGACATCTGCACTGTCAAGAGGCCACATCATCTCTCCTTATCTCTTGAATAAGCGAGGAGATCTGCTGGTCGTCCGTGTGAGGAACGGGACCGACAGCATCTTACGCGCCTTGTAACGTTCCCATAATAGTATGAATCGAAAGACAAGTAATTAGAGCGCACAGAAGTAAATTTTGGGACTTCTTCTCTTGCCAGTGCTTGAAGCTATTCATTTCTACCGTTTGGGCAATTTGGAAATTGCGGGCATTTGTTTGCAAATTCCTGTATTCCGAAGTATTGGGTGCAATTTCGCAGACCTTCCTCTTCTTAACGAACACATGATATAAAAAGTGGAATGAGATGAGGAAACGTAAGACTATCCAAAAAATAAACACCGGGAAATTTGCGTTGAAGGCCATTAAGGGGATTACGAGTTTGTGGAGTCCTCCTGGAGCCCCGCAGGGAATGACGTAATGATCACAGAGGGAAGAACCTCCTCCCTCCTACGCACACGTAAGAACTTACATCCCACTTTCCCTGAGCACTCCCTCGGCAGTGGGTCGCCGAGAGCAATCTTAAGTGAACGCACGGGAGGTGCCCGTGAAGCCGTGCCGAACCTGAATGCAGCTGCCGCACAGGACAATGCGGACTGTTGAGGAACCGTGGTGACGGTGGTCCCCCACCGGACAACTACTAGTAGGACGAGGACGACCCTGAGGTCCCCCAATCATCGTGAGGCTGTTCATTGTTTCTACCCTCATTCACGTATCCCTGTTGTTTCATTATACAGTGGTACCTCGCATAACGAACGCAATTCGTTTCAGCGGTGCGTTCGTTATGTGAGGTGTTTCTTTATGCGAAACACGATTTCCCATAGACTTCTATGGGAAATCATGTAATCCGTTCCACGTCGCCGCGAAAAATCAAGGAAATTAGGAAAAAATGTTTCACTTTCACTCGCGAACACCTCGCATAACGAACGCACCGCTGGAACGAATTGCGTTCGTTATGCGAGGTACCACTGTATAATAAACTGTGCGTAGTGTCCAATTACGCACCTTTATATAAATCCAGAGTCCTAAGTAATTCAAAGGAGTCTACACCTCGGAGTCAGTCTATACCTAATAGACGGGTTTTCTTCTGCCGATCACAGAGGTCTCTCTTACGAACTTCTCCGAACATCGCAACCTTCCCGATACCTTTCCGGATACCCCCGAACTCCGGATTCGATCACCTTGTGGCCGATCAGCCCCTACATTGATAACCCCCCCACCCGAGGACCCTATAAGTTGCTCGTCAAGTTGCAGCAGAACAGAAAGAGGGAGAATGACTCTGTGCGCCGTGACAGATGCACGTAATCGTTCCTGCTCATGCAGTGGATCGACACGCTGACGTTATCAAAGTGGGATGACACTCTGGTCCTTGGGAAGTTCCGCTCTCAAACAGAACTACCGATTCCGACTGCGAAAATGAAATCTCCATTCGTAAGAGGAATTGCTTTCAGCTGAAGCAGTTGAGCGTGAACTCGTGTGAATGATTCGAGCGAGAGTACATCAAGGATCCTCACAGAGAGGTTCCTTAAGCACATTTCTCACATGACGCTTTCTGAGATTATTTCAGAAAAGTATAACTACACGACACCATAAGAAATTTAAGAAATTATTTCCATCATTAAACTGAACCATGATTTTCCTGTTCCTGATCTAACTCGGAAACTTTCCTCCCTAATGTCGAAATAATAATTTTTTAATCAGATAGATGCCACGTTTCAACTCAATAACAAATTCTACTGCTCAAGAAAGCCTAACCTTATGTTGTATAATGAGGATCAATGACCTGAAGTTAATATTGATAATTCCAAGAGCAAATTTTGTCGCTTGCCTTAAGAAAATATTCGCAGCTCCCGAAATTTTGGAGCCAGCTATCTGAAATTCTGCAAACAAACAACAATTAGGTGATCCTATGTAATTATTACATTTCACCAGAATCACCATACTACAGGGTGGGCCACTTAAAAGTAGCCCGCCTCCTATAATACTGCGACAGTAAGAACGAGCAAGTGGATTGTTTTTCACCACCTTCGACCACCTCCGCCACGCTCGGACCAGAAGCGGGCTACTTTTAAGTGGCCCACCCTCTATAATCAGATCGACAGCTCACCAAAAATGGCAGCTTTGCTTTTTTTTTTTTACCACCTTTCTACATTCAATGCTGAAAGTTTGAGAAACATGAATTTAATCAATTTGCTGCAGTGAAACAAAAGCTAATTAGTTTGCAGTCACTAATTACATCCAAAGATTCGTTAATGATTGCGCAACCTAATATGTCGAGAAAATGATTTCCCAACGATATATTTCACAGTGCATGGTTCTCAGTCAGTGCAAAAACACCGGGTTAAACCTAGAGGTTTCTCAGCACTTATTAAATATAACTCTGTCTTTTAATGCAAACTTATAGAGAAAAACTATTTGCAAGGCTTCAACTTTGCTCAAACACTCGCCTCACGTACATGAAATCGATAGTTGCATGCATTCCAAGTGAGTCCCTTCATGAAGCGGGACCACATCATCACGAGGGGCCTTTGTTCTGGCGCTCTCTTCATATTTGCCAGGTCATTCATATTCCGAGATGGTCATACAACTTTAAACCTGTTGCGCGAATGATCAGAGTTATTTGAGAAAAATTCAAAAGTGGAACATTTTCCGGTGATTTGAAAGTCTTAGGAGATCTCATCGGAAGAGTGGTGTGCATTAGCTTAAATATAGCAAATAAAATAGATATTGAATTTATTGAAAATTCTTCATTTCTAAGCTGGGAATTAAAAAAATATGAAAGGTATCGTTCGTTGAGCCCATTTGGACAATGAGAAATATCAGCGGTATGTGAGTAAGTGAGCAACAGCATACTCGTGGGGATGCAAGAAGACAGATGTGTTAGCTTGGAAAGGACAAGCAGAAGTTAATTCCGCGAGCGCAGTTATCTGGGTCGATGCCAGAAGGGTGCACATTTCCTTGGATCCGGGATCCACCGCCTGGATCGAGAGAACACGGATGTTGGGAGAGCTATATGGCAAGCTTGGGCTCGAACTCGTTCAGTCGTCGTCCTTCCATCCGCCGGGTCTGTTCGACTTGTCAGGTTTCCTCTGTATGTAATTTCAGGACATTTTATTTTTTTCCCTAAAACGTGAAATCAGCAGCGAGAAGATGGAACTGGTGTTCTTGCTCCTCTCGGCATTCTTCTCCATCATGGCCGAACCATGAAATTCTTCAGATATTTCCTTCGATTTGCAGCATTGGCTAGTGGAAAGGTTTTCGTTTGCTACTACGGGAGCTGGGCTGTGTACCGGCAAGGAGATGGGCTATTTGACGTTGAGCAGATCGACCCGACTCTCTGCACTCACCTCATCTATGCATTTGCTGGGGTCGGCACAGATAATAAAATCCAGGTCCTTGATACATGGAATGATATCGTCGACGCATCTGGATCCGGAAAAGGTACTTGAACAACTCCCACCTTTCGTGCTGTCAGATTACTTTAATCCAAGGTAGAAAATATTGCTGATAACAAAACCTAACAAAACCCAAACTGCGTAACCGCCCAGTTGATGGAAGCCACTTTTATCCACGCTTCATCTCGAGACAACCGAGGGAGCGCAGTTGTATAGAATGATTTCACTTGTTACAGATACTTACCGACGATTCAACGCTCTGAGGAGTAGGAGCCCCGGACTCAAGACTCTCTTGGCCGTCGGAGGATATAGCGTAGGATCCCTCCCATTCTCTCAGGTATTCATCCAATCATAAATATATCGATCAATCTTTCTGAGGAATACACTTCGAAAAAAACCAATATAGGCAAGTATGAAATTGAGTAAGAATTAGCATGTATGAAAAAGAAAATGGAGCATACTTTCAATGGAGAATCTTCCGAACCTATTACGTGATTCGTGGAAAACGTTGAATTAGCAGAGCAGGAAGTTTATAACTGTCTGTCATGATGCATCCTCAGTAAGAATTTGTGGGTTTTCTTAAAATCTTTAGCCAATATCAGACGCAATAGTGACAGAACGCAACACTGACTACACGAATATCTCAGCTTAAAAATATTTGAAAAAAAGGTATATTGTTCTAAATATTTGGCTTCATATAGGGTGCATTTTTCCAGACAATCCTGAATGTTAGATATGAAGCTATTATATGTACAGTACATGTGTAATATATGTATGTTTCCATTTTATCTATTGCAGTTTAATTTTCATCAAATGTGGCATGTCTAACCACTTAGATGGCAGCGGATTCTGCGAAGAGGGCGACTTTCGTGGCGAGCTGTGTAGCTCTCCTCAGGAAATACGGATTCGACGGACTGGACGTGGACTGGGAATATCCGGCCAATTTAGGAGGCGCTCCCGCTGACAAGGTATGACGAAGAAATTTACATGGAAGAGCTTCTCCCCCACGAAATAAAATAAAGTATATCCGCCTGCGGGGCGTTCTTTATCATCTTTATCCAGCTATTTTGGCATCGAAAGGAAAACTGTTAGTCTTGTTCTGCGACAAAGAACTTATCTGAAATGTTCATAATCTCGCTTTATCATATTAGACTTGTGATGATAGGCACTGTTGAAAGGTACGATTGAATGTCGTGGGTTCAGTGGTGTAATGGTAGCACACCTGACCGGCAATCTGGAGGTCCTGGTTCAATACCCTGTCGTCCCCTGTCTCTCTATCGTCCTCTCTTGTTATCCAACATTCCTTTCCATCAGTTCTTCACGTTATATTGTCGCTGTGTACATTTCCTTTCAAAGTTTATTTTGGTTTCACAACTGCGGGTACACGAAGATTTTATATGTCGTTGAGTATGAGGAAGATGGGAAAAATTATTTTCGATTCGGTTGGTTTCAGGCGAACTTTGTGCAGCTGTTGCGAGACCTGAAGACAGCTTTCACGCCATACGGGTTGCTGTTGACAGCTGCTGTTTCTGCCGGCAAGAGCACGATCGACACAGCTTATGACGTTCCTGCCATGTCACAGTAGGTTCTATTTTAAAATTCAGTTTCTCCTCATTTTATCCATAATTATGCCCTCGAATTCAACTTTCTCTTTTTCGAGCTTCATTTACTCAAAAAAGAAGTATACTATCTGCCAATAATTCGCTTTGACATGGAAATAAGCATTGCGAAAAAATTTTCTGGAATGCCCACTTGAATGGCCACTTGACTTCATCAATGTGATGGTATATGACCTGCATGGAGCATGGGATAACTATACTCACCACAATGCCCCTCTCTACTCCCTTCCACATGATGCATCACACGGAAACTCTTTCCTGAATGCTGTGAGTTCCCAATCTTCCCTAAACTAAGTGTGAAACTTCACGATTAACTGTACTGTAAAGTGTTACTTGTAAGTGTAACTGTAAAGTGTTACTTTTGGCCCGTGGGATGGGGTTTAAAATAACATACCATGGCACAAAAGAACATTCCTGCACAATTGGCGTCTGATAGTAATGAGGAGCAAAAGGGTCGACTGTAAATGTAGATGAATATAGGACATTTTTAGCTGACATCTGAAAACGAAGCAACAGGAGCGTACAATGCTGAAGCAGCTGCAGCCAATCACTGCTGAATTTTAAACCTGCAAGAATTCTCTTTCTTTGGGAATAAAAAGAGGAAATAAAATCCCAGTCACCCACCCTACTTGCACTAATCACTTTACCTTCCCTTATTTTCTTCAACCTCAGTTTCTTTCCTCAAAACCAGCATAGAAATCTGCAATCCTGTTTGCTTATGATGAACACCAATAAAAATTCATGTCTTTCCCACCTATGAAAAAAGAGAAACCTTAACTCTTTCAGAAATGAATTAAGGCCACTATCGAAATAATGTACCTTTTTGCATTTTTGAGCTCTTTTCCCCAGTCTAACGTCATGTTCTATATGTAGCTCTTATATTTTGAATGAATTTACCTAATCATACTATTACATTACTTATTATACATGTAATTGCATAATTGAAGATTACAAAACTGACAGGTGAGAGAAGGCCTCTGACGGAATTGTGCCATGCATAATTGCATCCGTCGTAGTGCAGTATGGGGCGGAAAGTCACAAGAATCCTTAGAAATTACCATTGAAACAGTGAAGATACAACGTCTATTGGAGTGGACGCAGGGTCTGAAAGTGTTAAACTCGCAGATCATAACCTAGAAACTTTTACTAGACTTCTAAACGATGCTTTGACAGGAGCATCTGGATGGTGCTCTCAGAACACCATAATAATTCTACGATATTTTTCTGTTCATTACATTATTCTTAAATGGCATTCACAGCACTTGCAAGATTTCCATGGAAGTAGCGTTTCCCCGCACCCCTCTCAGTTTTCCTTTGTAAGTGCGAACCATTATGAAGCCTGTAAGAAGCCCCATGCACAATATTCAGTCATACGTACATTTTTCCCACTAATAGACTAGTACCAAAGTTAGCAGCACTTAAAATGTTGTATGTGCTTTGTTACTTTTACTCCACGGCCCAAATTTCCACTTGGCAAAAGTTACATTGGACTCAACAAATGTTGTGATAGGGCCTAGGTTCAAATTTCGAGGTCATGAGGTTGATATTAAGATCAGGCAGGAAATGAAACATTTTTACCATTTTTAACGTCATCAGTTGGGATGAAAAATAAAATTGCAACAGAAGAGAAAAAAATTGGATTCATAATTTTCTTACTAGGGTGCGCAAAATTGATGTAAGTACGTTCTTAGCCAAACACAGCGAAGCTCAAAATATGTAATATGAAGGATGAAGAGTGGCATGTTATGGACAAAAAAGTTAGGAAATTGTATCTAACGTACTTGCTGAAATATGAAGCATTGTTACAATTACCCCATTGTTATTTTTGTCCCACCTCACCCTACATCACAGTTGTCGACGATTTTCTCTGACGAATCTGACACATTGGATAATTCCGTTTAAAAAAAATACAGGGAAATTCAGAATAAACTAGGAAAAAGTCGACCAGCCCAAAACATTAATCGGAGAGGAGTTCGACAATGCATCGATGGCCAGAAGGAAATCGCACGACAGTCCACATTTCCACTACCAGCGGAAACTCTTGTCCATTCCCTATTTCTAACTTATTTTCAATAACTGTTGATGGTATAGTTTAAGCTCACCAAACTCTAATAACATTTATTCAGGATAAGTTGGAAATATACTCATGCATACAAAATAAAACTTTATAATAAAAAAATGGCTCCATTGTGAGCGGAGACGTTGCAGTTAAGAGTCGTTTCTTGTTTAATGTATTGGGGTGAAACGAGGGAGAGTCAATAGGGGGTCGAAATTCTCAGCGCAGCTGAGAGCACCTATGCAATACATATGCGCCATCAAATCATCCATTTTACAAAACCAGACGACTCGCACAGATCACGTCACTACCTTCTGAGCTCTCGCGGCGGTGAGTTACTCTCCCGCTCTAACATCAGTTTCTTATTGAAGAAACAGATGCACACAGACTCTTTGTAGTGGCTTTCTTCTGTATTCCTTGACTTTTCTAAATATCAAAAAGGCCTTTCATACAAGATAGCATTAAAGTTTGACTCGTAAGAAATGGAAAAAACAGTGGTCGTGCATGTCTTGTGGTCACAATACATGGTGGAACCATGTATTGTGACATTTGTGACATTTCGTCTTGCGAGAAGAAATTTATTTTCATAAATATTGCGCCGCAGGACTTTTTTCTGCGTCGGAATCTTAAATCAAGGAGCAGAAGATGCTCGGAGGGACAAAAGAACCAACAAGATGATGGTGATCTTAGGTGATCATCTGTGTAGGAACATCTGTGTAGGAATATCTGTATAGAAACATCTGCCGCGCCCCCCGGCGCGGCGGAAAGAAACACACTAATAAAACAGTTTTTTTATGTGGTTAGAGTCCACTTTATGCGAACTAGTACTAATCGGGAAGATTGAAAATGTAAAATTATTAATGATATTTCATGCTATGCCATGCAGCCTCTTACCAGCGTACCGGTGAGTCTGATAGCAGTTTCATAATCGGGCAGAAGCCCCCCCCCCCCAACCTTTCCCTCGTATATGCGGCATGGCATCATGCCGCATATACGGACTAGACAATGGGTATCAAGTAGGGCTGTCACGATAAGTCGATGCATCGATACCACTACCGATGATTGGAAGAATCGACCATCGCGATGTATGCGCAAAATGTTTGACGGGAAATGCCCTATTGGATTGAGACGAGTACAGTACAATACAGTCCAGGCGGGGAAAGGAAGAGGCGGCGTGAACCGCACGGGCTTTCAATTTCTTATCACGATCAATTTCTGGAAATGCTGGGACTGACTATGAAAGAAGGGAGGAAAAAAAAGTTTGTTGGAATCGGAGACAGGGAGTGGGAAAAGGAGAGGGAGGGAACACAAGAAGACTTGAAGAAACTGAATTCTAGTAGAAAAAAACCTTCATTTGACCGCATTGACGGCAACGACGAGGAATCCATGAAATGCCCCCAAGTTCCCTTCTAAGCTTCAATAGGCTTTCATAGTGCCTATTTCCCTTCCTTCAATCCCTTCTCGTGAAAAAAATTGAACCTCAGAGAGAATCTAGACGCCCGAAATTGGGCTGTCTTCTTCCGCCCTCAACACAGAATCGATTCAGAATATTCGAAGTTTTGAATCCCCAGGGTTGCGGAAACGACTGATTCTCGAATTTTTAAAGATCACAATTTCGTTCCCATATGAAATTGTGCGACAACCATTTTATAAATGCTTTTCTCCTCTCTTCACCCTCCTCTCACCCCCCCCCCTCCCCCCACCACCTATCTACTGAGCTCACTAACTTTGGGCCTTTGCCCATCACACGGACTCTTTTCCCACATCACAACTCACTTTTCAAATACCTTCCAGGTCTAGCTACCTTTCAAGTCACTTTCTCACCGTAAATATTATTTATCTGGGGAGTTCGCAGCTTTTCATTATGCTAAACATTTTAGCTCTTTTCCTCTTTTTCGTCTCTATTCGTTTCCATTGACTTTCCTAGCCGAGACGACATTTTTGTATGCTTGACCGCATCCCTCCAACCTGACCTGACCAGCCTGAAGTGAAAATTCCAACGTATAAATTTTTTTTATTGCCAGCACTAACTGTCCATCCCTTAAATGCATGTAAGGAACTGCTCGGATTTACATGCCCTGTCCAAATTATTCCCGACCAGTTGAAGCACGTCGCAACTGAGATTGCCTGATTCACGCCGTTCTTTTCTCGGGCCATGACTCACAACTCGCCCAGGGGGAAGCAGGGAGGTGAACCGATCATGGGGGGGGGAATGAGACAGGGATATTTTTAGTAGATTCGTCATTATTTTACGTATCGGCCCATCGGTCTTTTACTTTCTAGGAAAGAAGGACTTGAGGTGGCAGCAGTTGCTACGAGGAAAATTTTTTTTTTTTCCCGGATTCCCTGTCACATGCTTCGTCTAAGTCCATTTTCCAAAAATAAGGTCAACTGCGGGAGCTCGGAGCAATAGTCTGGGCTTCGCATCCAGTCATATACTAAGGAAGAACGAAAATGACGTCGATGTGATGTCGATATGATTTATTACTATCGTTTCCAGTTCTTTTGGGCGCTAGTTTATTTTACTTTAATCAAAGTAGCAAGCGCCTTATTTCATCTAAAGGCGAGGTGATATCCACGCTTTCTGAGCAAAGAAGGTGAAACTCCTGATGCACTAAAGCGCCCTGAAGCACTGAAGAAAGGGTGCTTCAACTGTGAACGGATTGCATGCTTATACCTGTACAGCAGCGGTTCTTAAACTGGGAGTATCTAAAAGGCCGCGACTGGCTTTTTTAAATTTAAAAATTTACTGCAATGGGAATATCATTTTTTTTTACATTAAGATTTTTACTTTTCACAAAATGTTCCTTCCTTCTCAATCGAGTCAAGGAGTTCCAGAAAGACTGATGGAGGGAAGTGGAATGTGTAAACCGAAAGAATGAGAGAGAGAGAGGTAATTAGAAAAATAGGATGAAAAAGGGGCATTGACTATTTTTCCCAGAATGCATGACCGATGTTTTCTCCTGTCCTTTTTCCCGGAACAAGCGACGGAATGGTATAACTCCCTCCCTGGTGACCGAGGAGGCCCTCATTCCCTCCCTCCACGAGTGACAAGGCTGGTGTGGACACGCTACGTTCCTCGCACTCCCTTCAAATTTCGGTACGCCTGCTTCCAGCTGCTCTTTTTTGCTCTTTTTCTCTGGACAAGAATTTTGAAAAAACTTGAAAAATCAATAGAGGCCGGAATAATGGAGTATCTCTGAAAGTACTAAGTGGATCCTGCGAAGTCTGTATGACGCAAACCTCTCAATGAATTCCTCCTGTTCTTTATTTTATTATATATTTTTTAAATTTAGTATCGAATGCCACCAGCGACACTGTCAAAATGTTTTTTCCTTTTCGCTTCACCCTACCGCTGAGTTTTCTGCTTTGGTTGGGATGAAGATATGGGGATGGTAAGTGGGTTTTGGCTGGGATGATAAGTCCCAATGCAGTTTCATCGTTCTCAGGATATTTCGTGACAGATCATCCAAGTTCTGGAAGTGGCATAATATTTGAACTGATGCCATTCCTTTTAAAATTGTATATTATTGCACAATGAGAATATTTTCTGTAGTTATGCAGAGACTCCGTTGTCGTCTTGCTTTCAGGTGCTTTTGTCGAAAGGAAAATCGCGCAAGCATGCAAGGCTTGGGAGTCGATTTAATGCAGGGGGCTCAAACTCATTTCTGCGAGCATTGTCAAAATTGGACCTCTCTGCGGGCCAGAGTGAAAGAAGTCTGATGGTTTTCCCTGATTGTGTACATTGGGCCTGAAACGTTTCTCTCGGCCTACGCAGGTGGATCGCGGGCCACTTGTTTGAGACACCCAATTTAATACATGCTGGTATCAAAATTACTGGGGGCAACTTTCCTGTTGCTGAATCTTATGGAATCACTTATGCCGCGTGTTTAAAACGATCAAATTACGACCAACAATTTTTTTTCGTCTTGGAAAGTGTTACGACCTTCGACCTGGAGTGCCGGAGCGAATAGGCATATGTGAGGATTTCGAGTGAAAAGGAGTGTGGGTGATTGGGGAATCCGGAACGCGCTTGGCAGGGGTGTGTCAAGGCAGATATTAGGAATCAGTTGTATTACATATTATCTGGGATTTGTTTCGACGTTGAAGGATAAGGGAGTTGAGGAGAGCAGAAAGAGAAGAATTGAGCCGAGCGCTCGTTTGTCCCATTTTTCATTCTTCCAGTTGCTCTAATATACGTCTCCTTTTCAAGGATCGACCTAAAAGAACCCAGGGAAGTTTACGGGGTTCACAGTTTTATTTTTCCCCAGTTTCAGCAGCGGCAGTGAAAAGATGAAGCTGACATTCTTGCTTCTCTCTGCGCTCCTTGCCGTCAACGCTCGACCAAGTGAAAAGCGAGGTAAATATCGTCTTTGGAAGTAATTCCGAAAGCATTAACATTTTCATAATTTTGCAGATGATTTCGTCCGAGCAGGAGCATCGAAGAGCGGAAAACTGTTCCTTTGTTACTTTGGAAGCTGGGCTGTTTACCGGCCCGGCGATGGGAAATTCGACGTGGAGCAGATCGACCCAAACCTCTGCACCCACCTCGTCTTCGGATTCGCAGGGCTCGGCGACGATAACAAGATCAAGGTCCTGGATCCGTGGAATGAAGTCGTCGACGAATCGGGCTCTGGTAAAGGTGACTAACCTCCATTCCTCCAATACTATCGTAGACTATTTTATAGAATAGAAGTAAACCTTAAAGATGAATATGAAAGGAAAAAGAGCGTCAGGATATCCATCATAAATGTTCCCAAAGGCGAAGGACTAGATTTCAGTTGCAAAATGAAACCCTGTATTTGCACCTCGTATAACTCGAAAACAAGGGTAGTTGCAAGTCATACGATATCGTGCACATCCACTGGGTGTTACCATGACCTTGATCATCGTCATGTTTCCCATAAGCACAAGGATCCTAGTAATCCATCCTATAGGACTTGCAAACGATTATACTTATTATTTGCAACTTATAAATATTTGAATGTTGTAGATGCATTCCGACGGTTCAATGCCCTGAAGAAAAAGAATCCTGGACTGAAAACCATCTTAGCAGTTGGAGGATGGAATGAGGGCTCCGTCAAATACTCCCAGTTATGAAACCAATCAAAAATAAGCTCTGATCTGTCTAATGAACCTAACGGATTGAAGAACATTTTCCGGGTCATAAATTTCAAATCATTAAATGAAATGGATCATCGATTTTCGGGGCATTTTGAGAATCTTCGTTGATGTATTCCCTTTCATGTATGAAAACAATTTTTTTTTTGCATTTATAACACTTAAATCGCAAAAAAAACTTGGATTATTTTAGTATTACCAATTCTCACTGACTTCTATGTGCTTAACATTACAGATGGCCGCGGACCCTGCCAAGAGGACGACGTTCGTAGTGAGCTGCTTGGAACTCCTAAAAAAATACGAATTCGACGGACTGGACATGGACTGGGAATATCCGACTAACAGGGGAGGCGCTCCTGCAGACAAGGTAACAACACTTGACAGACTTGCAAGACAGCACCTGAAAAAGAAATTAGAAATAACTTTCATTCTTGTTTCTACTACTGTCAGGCGAATTTCGTACAGTTGCTGAAAGATCTGAAAGCCGCTTTCGCTCCCGAAGGATTGTTGGTCACAGCTGCTGTTTCTGCAGGGAAGGGAACCATCGACACCGCCTATGACGTTCAAGGAATGTCTGAGTAAGTCCATTTCTTATATCGAGATTTAATTTTCTTTAATTTTTATATTGAATACAAAGGGAATATTATGTTCATTCAAACATTCTTTATTCTTGTTTACTTATCCATTGGTATGGCAGAAATTTTCACTTCCAACGATATACATTTTCATGGTACCACATCATACACAGCAATGTAAATTTCATCTAGGGCACTGGACATTATCAGCGTTATGGTATACGACATGCATGGAGCCTGGGAGACATTCACTCATCACAATGCCCCTCTCTATGCCCATCCACTTGATCAATCTGGTGACAACAAGTACTTCAATGCCGTGAGTAAAATTCCTTGCATTCAGCAAAAAAAAAATATCTCTCAGGAAGCCCCAGATTTGTTCCTTTTTTTCTAAAAATATGTCGTTTCTCTGCAGAACTTCAGCATGAACTACTGGATCAGCCTAGGAGCTCCGAAATCGAAACTGGTAATGGGAATGCCGATCTACGGACGAGGTTTCACCTTGTCGAATCCAGCAGAGAATGGGCCAAGGCTACTCAGGCTGGCATGGCCGGTCCTTACACCAGGGAACCTGGCATTCTCGCTTCAACGAGGTAACATCATTCTCTTATAATAATCAAGAGCTTCCTTTAGCATTACAGGGATGTTAATTTCACTTAATATAATGAATACGAAATGTTGCCTGCATCCGAATTGCTTATAGTAAGGCTCTCCAAAATGAGAAAATAATGATGTCTCGAGCGTCGATGATACAGTCTTGCGTTGGCTGTTCAATATCTGATGTCATGTGTGGTGCAAGCGACGAACTGGACTCACAGACTAAGTTATCAAGTCCATGATTATATTATTGAAGCGAAAAAAAAATTGCAATCGAACATCATTGCAGATCTGCGAGATCCAGAAGCAGTATGGAGACTTTCAGAGGCACTGGAACGATGATATCAAAGCGCGATATTGCACATTCAACTCCACTTAGTGGTTTGGATACGACGACACCGAAAGCATCGCCCTCAAGGTCTCCCCCTTTCTACAATTTCAGGCTGTTGTCTCTGGTAACGGTTGGTGGCACTAACTTTCGTGTCTCTGAAAACAGGCACAGATGATCTTGGACTTGGGAATTGCCGGAGGGATGGTGTGGTCAGTGGAGACGGACGATTTCCTCGGGAAATGCGGGTTGGGAAAGAACCCCATCCTCACCACCATCTACAAAGTCCTGAACGGCGAAGACCCAATCCTACCGCCTCTCCCTCCCTCAACGACGCCCGAGCCCAATGCCCCTACCACCACAGACACCCCCTCGACCTCCACTTTCCCCAGCAACTCAACGAGGATTGTCCTCCTCGGGGGACTTTCTGCCTGGGGAATGTAGTCCCAATCACTTCAACGACGCCCGAGCCCAATGCCCCTACCACCACAGGCACCCCCTCGACCTCCACTTTCCCCAGCAACTTAACGAGGATTGTCCTCCTCGGGGGACTTTCTGCCTGGGGAATGTAGTCCCAATCACTGCTGCTGCTAACCCTCATTTCGACGAGTGGATCATCTATCGGCTGAACTGGTGGACTCGTTATTTTGATCTCAACCATGTCACGTAGAAAACTAGCTTTTCATTTTGTTTGTTGTAGTCCCAATCACTGCTGCTGCTAACCCTCATTTCGACGAGTGGATCATCTATCGGCTGAACTGGTGGACTCGTTATTTTGATCTCAACCATGTCACGTAGAAAAGGAGCTTTTCATTTTGTTTGCTTCATTTTTGCTTGTTTGCATGAATTGTTCCAGGATAATTGCCTTTATCTATCTTGTTCAGAAGGATAATAATAAATTCCTTCTGAATTCCATTCAAGTTGAAAATTATAGATTTCAATCGATGAAGATCCGTTCACCATGTCCATGTCCGGTCATCATGTCCGTTCCCGACAGTTGACGATGAAAACCTCTTAATTCTCATTAAAAAATGAATGCTTGTTGTATGATGTCGTTTGAAAAATAAATAACATGACGACACAAACCTACATTGCTTGTCTCCATCCCAGCCGACATTCCACTCGAAACCGGGGAAAACAGAAATGGCGAAGAACCCGTGTGATATATGATAAGAAAACAAGAGTGAAGAAAAGTGGAAGGGAATGAAATTCATCTATGTTGAACAGAATTGATACGATGCTGGAAGCAGTTCGGAAATGGACCTGATATACCAACAATTTCTTTCTGTGTTTGCATGAGCAAGCTAGTGCTAGTTGGAGAGCACGCATTGACCCTGTCGATGACTTCATAGAAAATGTTTAATGTGTGTACACTATGTGACGGGGTATATGTTTCAGGAAAAAAATGACACGGAAAATGCAACGATTTTCGCGACTCATGGAAAGCCCGTGGTCATATGAAGAGAATTTTTCTATAAATATGGTTCATTCGATACATTGTCGAGAGCTGGATCATGTTGCTGATGCGAGAATGACTGCCACCATGTGGCAGCGACTCGAGAAGATTAAACTGCATGGCGCCGAGAATATGACAGTGGTGCGCAGGCCGTTGACGAAATTAAGTAAGAGGGAAAGGGAGGGGAAGGGAAATTGTACCGTCATAGAAACCGAGAGACTTTGCATTATAGGAGGTTCATTCTTGTTCCTTACCATCAATTGCTACGAAAAATAATACTGTATATAGGGTTGTAATGGACCGCGACTTGGGCTTAATTCCTTAAGCGTCTCAAACGTGAATACACATGATTGGTCGCGCGTGATTTCATGAGTTGCATCAGTGGTCACAATGGATTTGCGTGATCTCTATACTGGTGAATTCATACAAGAGGCACTCCCTGAAATCGCGGAGAGTATGTTTATCTTCTTCTCAGGGGCTGCAAGGCAGCTCGGCAGTAGTTAACCACAGCTTTCAATGGTATAGCAACGTATGTATTTCATGAATGTCTATATATCAATATACAGTATGTACAATGGACATTCATTTGATTCGCGTACTGATGCTGGCAATCGCACAATACGACTAGGTTGGCAATCTTGCAGAAAGTATGATATTATAGGGGGCTTTCGATAGAGAGCGATAGCGACCTCATCAGGTGATGGGGATGGTGTAGGCTATCAAGGACGTGTGCCGTCAGCGACAGAGTCCCACCCCTCCTAGACCGCTCATGCCATTTGAACTCCGTTGTTCGTCGCCCAATGCATTCGTCTCCTTATGAATGTCTTATTTCAGTGAGTGTTGCTGATGCACTAAAACCACGCCGAAGACGATAGGAGATAACATATTGCTGCTTTACTTGAAGGGAATCTTCCATGACAACGACACATCGCACATGCACACAACGCGTCACCTAGTACACACAGCTGGGCAATGTCGACCCCACATTGCATCATCCTTCCTTATGAGGTTGCCAACCTAGTCATATCGGGCGCCAGTGAGTGTTCCGAAAGGAACGAAGCGAGCCGAAGAGAAAAAGGAGAAATGGAGAAAGGTCGAACGTTTCCGAGCCGATCCAGAGAAGAACTGTTTCCTGCCGTTCCACCTGCTCTTGCAATGGATCGGCTCACTGACGTCATCACACTCCCTCGAACTCACAGGGATGAGACTCTGGGCCTGGGAGGTTCCCCGATTCCGACCGTGAAAATTAAAACTTTGAACACCTCGCTCAAGCACTCGGACATCCTTCTCACATCCTCGGACATCCTCGGACAAGGACATCCTTTAAATTGTGTACAAATGTTTCATGCGATTCCCTTGATGAAGCTGGACTCGAACCATCATGGCTATGAGATGTTGCCCTTGTAATTTTTTAAATATACGAACTCTAATCGATCTTGTGGCAAGGTAGTAGGACATTTTATCGACAAATATCAATTTTATTTGAGAAAAATTCCAAAAATTCTCATGATAAATTTTTCATTCATCATTTTCATTTGAAAGTCTTCAAAATATCCGTCGAAAGAGTGGTTTGCAGTGGCTTCAGATTTCCTAGATTCCGAATTTCGACGAAATTCTTCGCAGCTAAACTGGTAGTTGACAAAGATAGTGTGTATCGTTCGTGGAGTCAATGCTTGTAGAACGTGTGGCCCCAGAGAAATTTCAGAAAGAATATATGAAAAGACTACCGAGCGTATCCACGTTGGGTTACCAGAAGACAGATGTGTTAGCTCGCTAACGTCACGCAGAACTTATATACCTGAGCGCACATGTCAAGAACGAATCAAAATGGGATCACATCCCCTTGCATCCGGGTTCCCTCACAAGGTTCGAGGGAATACGGATGTTGGGGAGAGCTATAAAGCAGGCCTAGGCTCGAATCTGTTCAGTCGTCGTCCTTACATCCAGCCAGGTCAGTTCCATTTTTAGTCAAATTTCCTTACCCTGGGTAAGTTCGAGGCGTTTCATTTTTTCCTGAAAACTTGAATCGGCAGCGAAAAGATGGACCTGGTGATCTTGCTCCTCTCGGCTTTCTTTTCCATCATGGTCGAGAAACAAGGTAAACACGTTTCCACTCGAAACATGATGGAAAAAATGTTTAATATCCGGGAAATGTGTTGAGTATTTTTCCGAACCGCAGCGATGGCGAATGGGAAGGTTATCGTGTGCTACTACGGGAGCTGGGCTGTTTATCGGCCTGGAGATGGGAAATTTGACGTTGAGCAGATCGACCCGACTCTCTGCACTCACCTCGTCTATGCATTTGCCGGGGTCGGCCAAGATAACAAAATCAAGGTGCTCGATCCATGGAATGAAATCGTCGACTCGTCTGGCTCCGGGAAAGGTAATCACCAGTTACGTAACCCGATTACTTCCAATAGAGGTATTTCTAAGAGAAATGTGTGCGTAAAATAAGGTTTTTGAAATGAAGATGTGCATATATCAGATTCAGTTCATGCAAACCACTTTTAAGTGGGCATCATCTTGCAACAGCACCTATGAAACCCAGTTCCATTGAGTGTTTTTGCGTGTTACAGATGCATTCCGACGATTCAACGCTCTGAAGAACAAGAGCCCAGGACTAAAAACTCTCTTGGCCGTCGGAGGATGGAATGAGGGATCGACCGGCTTCTCCCAGGTATCCTGCCTAACATTAATAAATAAATAAATAAGAACTTCTCAAGCATACACTCTGATAAATAAATAAAAAACATGACTCGGTTATAATAATGATGGGAGAATCTTTCACTTCAGTATTTTTCCGGGACCAACCAACCAACACGTGAAAACATTTTGCAGTAAGGTAAAATATCATATTGCAGACTGATGCATCCTTTGAATGAATTGACAGATTTTCGAAAAAGTGGCAGCCAACAGCTTAATTTCGCGTCAGTCACTTGAACACAACAAGCCTCATTAACCACTTGGTTCAAAAACGGTTATGTTCTAAGATAACGTTGTTTCTAAATGTTCACCGTGGACTAAGATGATATTTCGACACAATCATAGATTTTAGATTGAAAACAAAAATAATTCATGTTGAATGTCATCACCAGCACAATTTCACAAATGTGTTTCATTCCACTTCAATGCGTAACGTCGTAGATGTCAGCAGATGCGGGGAGACGATCGACATTCGTGACAAGCTGCGTGGATCTCCTCAAGCAATACGGATTCGACGGACTGGACATGGACTGGGAATACCCGGCCAATAGAGGAGGCAGCGCCGCTGACAAGGTGTGTGGACTTTTGCCTCGCTCTGGGATCTATTGCATTGGATCGACCAAAAATGTAGTAATTAGGCTTACCTGCAAGCGGGATGCGAAACGCACGATAGACAGGGCATTTACGAGCGTCTGCACCAAAAAGAGTTTTTTCCCCGAATATCAAACTGCTTCACCAGCAGTTCCTCGTTCGAAATTTGATATGAAGTTTGTCTGCACGTGTTTCGTTAGCGGGGCTAAGAACAAACAATTTTGGAAAGCCAGGGAATATATCTGTTATTCATAGTCACAGCTTTCATCAGAACGGGAGCAAGACAAAAAAATTTGTAAAAGAACAAATGTTATTTAAAATTTCGCATCCTTAAAATTTTCGTGGTTCCTACTTTGTTCGTATCTGACGTTTTCCCGTCTGCAGGTAGATAGATATTTAAAGATATTTCGAGTATGAAGTTGATGATACGAATACGTTTTTTTTCGTTTCGGGCCTGTTTCAGGGGAACTTCGTGCAGCTGCTTAGAGATCTGAAGGCAGCTTTCAGGCCATACGGGTTCCTGTTGACAGCTGCTGTTTCTGCCGGGAAGAACACCATCGACACCGCCTATGACGTCCCGGGCATGTCTCAGTAAGAATGGTCTTTTCTATTCTGTTTCACTTTATTTCAAGAAGTATGGCAATGACATAACGTGGAATTAAATATCTTTTTTACAAGCTACAGTTCATCAGATCAGTATCATTCCAACTCCCAATATTTCTAATTGGCATGAATATCCGCATTATATGAAATGCACCTAGGTCACTGGACTATATTAATGTGATGGCATATGACATGCATGGAGCCTTTGACAGCTATACCCACCACAATGCTCCTCTCTTCGCCCTTCCACTCGATCAATCCCATAACAACCAATACTTCAATGATGTGAGTTCCCAATCTTTTTTCTAAGTTCATCGCTTGATTTCACGAGTATTTCTAATTCTAGCGTTCCATCTCTATAGGACTTCGCTGTACGCTACTGGTTGAGCTTGGGAGCCCCAAAAGAGAAATTGGTGATGGGAATGCCTATATACGGACGAGGTTTCACATTAGCTAACCCCAGCAATAATGGATTCTATGCTCCAACTTCTGGGGCTGGCACGGCGGGTCCTTACACGAGAGAAGCAGGAATCCTCGGCTTCAACGAGGTTAGATCATCGATGCACAATTGCAAAATTTTCCTTTCTGGAAATTTTATTTCGTTCGGAGAAAGGAATGTAAACACGAGAAGACGGAAGACGTCCTAAGCGTGGACGTCATGATAATGAAATTCAAGCATACTTTTTTATTATCTGTGATCTGATGGAACAATTTCATTGCAGATCTGTGAAATTAAAAAACAGTATGGAGACTTCAAGAGGATCTGGAACAATGACATCAGAGCTCCTTATTGCACTTTTAACTCGAATCAGTGGTTCGGATACGACGACACCGAAAGCATCACCCAGAAGGTCTGTTTTCGAATCCGAAAAAATATCAATATTGTCTGAAAGTGATTGCTGACGTTATGGGTTGCGTTGGGGGGAATAGGCGCAGCTGATATTGAACTTGGGCCTGGCAGGAGGGATGGTCTGGTCGGTTGAGACGGACGACTTCCGAGGGAAATGCGGATTGGGAACAAATCCCATTCTGAATACCATCAAGACCGTTCTGAACGGACAATCTCCTAATCCGAGACCTACCAACGCTCCTGTCCCCATTGCTACCACTACCCCCACTGCTCCTCGCGCCACCACAGCTCGCAGCAGCAAGAAGTGTTCCTCTGTGGGGTACTTCGCATCTGGAACTTGTAGCCCCAGTTTCTACTACTGCATGTTAAACTTCAATCAATGGATCATCTATAACATGAGCTGCGCCGCCGGAACCGTAAGTTCCTTCTCAACTGCCTCAGTTGAAAAAAATGCCAATAGTTACTCTATAGATTGTTTCTTTATTCTAGGTGTATTACCAAGGTGCTTGCCTCTGGCCATATTCCTCCCCTGAATGTCAAGGATAATTACCAAGTGTCATCGCAGGAATAAAGACGTGCCAAGTTAATGAGAATGAAACGAAATTGAAATTATTATCCTGAAGATGAGGGAAAAGAAACGCTAGAAGGCTCCCAACAAAGGGTTCACTGTTGGGCTATGTGAGCGCAGAAAGGAAAAGGTGGGAGGTGTATTGTTGAGTCTCGATGCTCTCTTTCTTGATTTCATTATAAGAAATGAAAGAGGAAAAACTGCATGACTGGATTTTCAAAAAAGGTATGCCTTAAGGTCATTGGAAAAACAAAGATGACGACTTAAAATGGCTCAAAATAGGAATAAATCTTCGTCCGTCAATCCTTTCCCTTCGACTTGTCTCCTAGCTCATATGACCTACGAACTCGCATGAGCTTCCCCTGAGCTTGACCCCTCGGGGATGCGTAACTGATAATTTCTTCTCAGTCAGATGCGACAACGGCGACTTTCCTGAAAGGATACTTTCGTTTAACAAAGATGGGAGGGAAATAACTCTCACCCTGAGAAACTTCAAAAGAAATACGAGAAGTTTAGCGAGCGCATCCACATGGGGTTTGCTAGAAGCCAGACGCGTTGGCGCTGGCAATCGTTCAGCAAAACTTAATTACCCGAGCGCACTTGTCGGAGTCGATGTGAGAAATGAGTGCATTCCCTTTCATCCATCCTTCCGTGGATGGAGGGAAGATGGATATAGGTGTGAGATATATTGCAGGCTTGGTCTTGAATTCGTTTGGTCGTCGTCCTTCCATCCGCCGGGTCGGTTAGTCTTCTTAGATTTTCTCTCGAGCTAAGTTCAGATCAAAATCAAATCGGCGTGAGATCTTCGACCGCCTTGTCCAGTCTAGGTATATATACCATGTCTCTGATCGAAGTACTTGTTTTCTGACGTACTAGAGCGGTGGTGAGGGTTCCATTGCACACGCGGATTGATCGCTGTGCAATCATGAGGATGCGTGACAAGCCAGTTAAGATGGCGGCCCTCAAAGAAACATGGTCAATCTTGAAGCGCGGAGAGTTTTTCCTTTTCTTCAACCATTCGCTTCCTCCATTAGGAACAATATGAAATACAGTTATGATTGAACAATGAAGATCTTTAGCGACCTGAGGAATTTCCACTTGTCTGTCCTCTTGAATCATTCCTTTCATTTGCACGATATTCTCACCTGGTGAGGAGGGTCTTGGTTGACACAGTCGTTTTCCCTCGATTATGCTCGTTTGCCCAGTATCAACTGCTTTACGACACACCAATACTTGTTTTCGAGACCTGGCATTTTCTTCCTGAACCCCAACAAGTTGGCGATGAGCTTCGCGGGTGTGGTGTCTCTTGCATGGAGAGAAAGAATAACACTCGACACTTCAACTGTTGACCGCATTCCTAGGAGGCCGCCACCTTAACTGGCTTGTCACGTATGCGCACGATTAGACAGCGATCAATCCGCGCGTTCAATAGAACCACCGCTCTAGGACGTCACGAAACAAGTACTTCGATCAGAGACATGGTATATATACCTAGACTGGACGTGGCGGTCGAAGATCTCACGCCGATTTGACGGGTTGGCAGCCATTACTGATGGCGTGAAGGAGAGGATGAGGCATGATATTCGCTGCAGCACACGGCAGTCATTGTCAATGTTGTTTAGGATTCGGATGCTGTGAAAGACCACTGACCGCGTCTTTCAATGATGAATCGTGCTTGATAACTATTGCGACCCTTTTGCGGGATCTGTCCATGGTTGGGACGGAATTTCCTTAGCCTCATGTAGGCCCTGGGCCTAACTACGTGGGAAACTCATAATGCATTGTCATTATTAAGTGGAATGAAAGTAAAGACGATTTCTACTCCTCAAAGACGGAATAGGTAGCATTAATTTATTTTCAAAATACCATACTTCGTCACTGAAGATCGGGTAGGCCTAGGCCTACCTGGGGCCCGTTCCTCGCCTGTGCTAAACTTAAATCTAAATTAAATCTAAATCCAAGGCAAAATCTTACGAAAATAAGCTTGCTTATTCCTCTCAACACAGAATAGTTCCAGGAAATTTGAAGCTCCGTCTCTATAGGGGTTGTTGGAGACTGAGTCTCGTCTTTCGTGGATATGAATTTCATTCCCTTTTTTTGTCCCTCCCCCCCGGACCTATTCGAGATGGTTCGAAGAACTCCAGATAAGCCTTACGCTCCACGTCAATGGTGCATGAAACGCGAAACAGATCTCACATTGGTCTAACGTTACACGTCCTCTCAGAAATGATTCTTCAAATTATGAGTAGGTCTAACGTTATAACTATAATTGTCCTAACGTTATAAGTTCTCGACGAGATGTCACAAAACCACGGATTCACCTTCATAGGCCTAATTGGTCTCGTTAGTCGAGAATTAAGTTTCTTTTGAAAAAAAAAAAGTGTAGGCCTTTGCGTGAACTGAATTCAGTCTGTTGGTTAGGCCGAGGCCTAACGTTAGTGAGTCACGTATAGAATTGGGGGGGGGGGGAGATTGAAAATGAAGGCCCCATAATTGGTTTTCGCATTACTTCATTCTATCATTAATAAATTAATTAATCCTAACTTGGAATATACTCTGCAAAAATATCTATAAATGGCGAATATGAAAGAAATATAGAAAACAGATTTCCAGTAGAGGTTCTTTCGGAACGAATTTACCAAATCTTCGAAATGTTGTATGTGGAGAGCAGAACGCTTTTCTGTGTGATGATAAATCCTCAGTAAGAATTTGCATGTTCCCTTCAAATGGAATCTGATTATTCTTGTTCATGAAAGTGAAGCCAGCGCACAATCTCACGTGAGACGATTGAACACAGCGCAGACCATATGAGTCTGTGCTGAAAAAAAAAAGTTACGTTTGAAAATAACTTTGATCTAAATCCTTGCTTGTATCTCATCTGCGCTTTATTTTCATCAGGACTCCAATGTCTAATGCAGATGGCAGGAGATCCCAAAGACCTTATACTAAGAAGACTGGGCACTCTGTGGCGGCGCCTTTGATGTCAGGGAAACCTCCTGCCCTGGTGTTTGGCCCCGGAACTACGCAGAACTGACCAATGGGATCATTGGATTGGAATGTCGCGTGAAATATGGCTACCTTTGGATTCAAGTACTGCGCCTACGCACCATGCCAGGGGAAATTTGGCCAAATGGATGGAGACGTTCCGTTGCATCAGTTTCCCATGGATCCGGAAAGGCACGCACATGTGTTCGCTTAGGGCTTTGCACTAGGCCTATGGTCATGGCCTTACATACATGTAACAGGCGAATGAAGTAAAATGCTGTGTAACCTCAATAACCCTAACGAAAATGTCAACATTTTCGCGTCTCGGATTGACGTGTCTGTTAGAATGGGATGGCTTCAATTTTGAAGGGACAAAGACAGGCTGTGGATAATTACCTTGCAGGTTCGCTTTGGATTTACAGCCGTACTAGAGCGGCCTGCGGCCAAGCCGGCCGAGTAATACATTAAAAGTACACCAAGATTTTTATGGCATAGCCTCGTAGGCCTTGCGTGTTAGGCCGCAGGTGGGTGACAGCCATTCACTACCGCTTTCGGCCTCTTTCAATTTTTATAGCCTAGCCTATGGCCCAGAATGGTAGAGCCTTGAAGGCCTGGCGCATTAGGCCTTGGATGTCTTGGAATGGCTTGGCATCGTAGGCCTCGCACGTTAGGAGTGACGGCCGACTCAACGTTCGGTCTCTTCCAATTAAAGTATTAGATATCAGATTGGATTAGATGTTCTTGAGGTCCATTTGGGTTACAGCTGGCTTCTATTCGCACACATTCTTGCTGGCAGCTAAGCCAAAATGTTCTCAAATGATGAGATTGCCATTGGGATTCAGAGATCTCCAGTTCATGAAAATAATGCAGTTCGTAAATAAACAAAAAAAACTGATTCCTTGTTACATAGGTAACCTACGCAGCATGCATCGTCTTGCAATTCTGTCTGAATTCAATAATCCTAGCCCCCCCGGGGAGATTCTCCGAACATCGTTTTCCCAACTCCTCTTCATGGTTTTCCGCCAGACATGTCAATCAGTCACGCGCTATAGGAATGGCGTCATACTTCGGGCGCGAATTCGTTCAAGAGACACTAGCGCTCTGCTCCAGGAAGCGTTGACATTAGTTCGAGGGCCAACCACCAGGGCATAGACCGCCATTGCGGTTACCCTGCTTTCGCGCAGTGTCCAGTCGTCTTAGTATAAGGTCTTTGGTCATACCCCCCCCCCCTTCGGATTTCCTGGTCACGCTACTGTCGCAACATGTACGAGGTGTATATAATTGTTTACCTCTGTGCCCCCAATTTAGCGTAATCAAAGTTTGGACTCGAGTGTTTCATCGGCCGACACGAGATGGCGCCTCTCTCTTCGCGCGGTTAACCATTGGTGAGACCGTTAATTATTTTTAGAGATGTCGATTGATAAAAAAAAATAATTGATTAATCGTGAGCCATTTTATCGATTAATCGAATTTTAATCGATTCCTTACTTCCGCCTTGAACTGTGTCCTAGACATTGGGCATGATTGTGCTTGTGTCGTGTCCAACATCTTGGCGAACTTCAGGAAGTGACTCAAGGCGATGCAGTCGCTAACATTGCAGGTATCATCCATCCATACACTAGTAAAACCTACATGTGACATATTCCAATCAGAGAGAGAATCGTAGCCAACGTAGCCAGATGAATAATGGAACGTAAGCAAAGAAGGACACTGAGGCCCTTCTGCCATTTAGCCAACCCATGCCGGAAGGATGCAACAATTTAACTCATTACACGGAGATTCATTATCGATTCACGAGCAACACAGGATAGAAAAGAAGAAAAAGCAAGGAATAGGAGAAGATTCCACACTTTCGTTTCCTCTTCTCTCGCCTGCTCCCAGCTTTCCCCCTCTCCCGGTTACTTACAGGGGGCTCCCACAGACCCTCGCCGACGCACTTCAACGTACGCCTCTCACTCCCCAGACTTTACGTTATCCTCTTTCCTGCCACTCGTGTCCTACGTCCCTGTCTAAATCCTCTTGTCCTTCTGTACGTTACCTTTCAGCTCC